CAACTTCGATGCTGGAACAGCCTCTGGCTGGTGACCTGTTGTGATGTTAACGACACACAGAAGAGTGTGGAGATGCTTAGCGGCTCCAAGTCCTGACACTCTGGATGCTCATGGGCTGATATGCGCATCCTAGGGGAGTAAACTGGCCGCGTCTTCCGGCTTTAGGTTCAGGGACCAGCTGCGGTTTCCGCCACATTGAAAACTGGTCTTTGTGTTCGTCGGCTGCAGTGCCCGCTTGGAGGGCGTCGAACCTGTTGTTCTGGGCACTTCACTGGAACTGGGATCACTTGGGGGTTATAACTCAGGCCTTTAGGCAGAAATAGCAAGTGTTCGTTGTCGGTAGGGGGTGCAGCGCCTCTGCTGCTGTCCGTCGCCGTGGGTTGATGCCACCGTCGCGATGTCATCAACCACGGCTATGGGGGCCGCTCAAACGTAGTGCGGGGACTTGTTGAGCATCTTCAGAAAACCCTCTACACCATGTCAATTGATACAGATATATCACAGATGTTTTCAGCAGTGCGCACGGCCCACTGGGCAGAGCAGCGCCCGGTTAAGCTGTGTGGACCGAAGATACCACCTCATCGTTTTGTTGCAGCAGGTGAGATACACAGGCATTCGAAGCAAAGAGGCTCCCACATTTGAGTTGTTGTTTTTTAAAACCTTATTGGAACGAGTTTAATGTCTAGTTATAGACTCGAGCGCTAGCGCCTACAGTACGCAATCGCATGCCGGGCACCATCCTACGCTCACAGCACTCGAGCTCCATGCATCCTGCTTGGGTTAGCCTCCATCGAGTCACTTGGCTGCCGGTTGGTATTATCCACTGGAAGGGAAACTCTACCATGCTGCCAAGAAAAGTGAAATAAGGCGTCTGTAAGGCCTGGTTTTACTAGTGTAGAGTAAGGCTCCGCGAGCAAGATTTAGTCGCGGTGGCTCTCCAGTTCCAATGGAGAACCGCCCCCGTACCCGAGTGGCTGTCTGTTGGAAGCAGAGGAAGGAGGTGCTTTAGGAATGCCGACCTGTGGGGCTCTTGAAACCAGTTCCAGGCGTGATGTGTTGTTATGAAGCTGGAAAACTGCTTTTTGAGCTGCAAACCGCCTGATCTTCAGCTTCTCGCACACCATCACGTGGGCAGGATGGGAAGCTCACCCGGGCAGCGCGCACACCAAACTAACAGCAAAGCTCATGAGAAATCGACCTTTAGGTACATCCATAAAGGCGTTCAAACTTGCGAATTATGGTCTCCCAAGACGTCGTCTTGCAACTCCAGACACACTCTGTCAGCTGGTCGGGGGGAGGATGCATGAGGATGCAGAAAAGAGAGGAAGGACTATGTGATTATATGAGCAACGTAAAAGACATCTCAGCATCTTTAGAACACTATGCTGTTTGGTATTAACTGGGAGACCCTGCGAGATGGTAGGGCGTATCTGTGCTTGCAGACCGATTGCAACGGAACGCCGAGCAAGTGAGCAGCAATCAACTGCGGTGTTAGTAGATGCATCGTAAGGGCGTTTGGGCCTCCTTGCATCTCGGCTTGGGTTTGCAACATGTTTTTGAGCAGGAAGTGCTGCAATTCAGGGCCGGCTGAATTCGTCGTCCCTCAGGGCCCTGCAGG